ACTATTTCTATGTGTGTGTGCAGTATAAACATTGAAAAAAACTCAAATAGTAAGAACAACAACCACCGAAATTACTAAGCTCTAAACGTAGTACATTGTTGTGTATCTACACAAGTTTTGGCAGTGACTATAATATTCATTTTGTCTTTGTACATGTGGGATGGCCTTCAGATTATACCAATGTTCAACATTTGTCTTCCTTTCTTAAAATAAATGTATTCTGTACAATGTAATCCCTTCTTCTATCTAGTGAGAAGTCTCGAGGCGTTACACTGAGAGTAGGCAGTTTAATTACTTTCCTTGCATAGCATTGAGTAAGTAGGTACGCATTAGCACAATTTTTAGATTCCTTTACACTCTTTCTAGTCAAGTACAACTTGTAATTGCATACACTACTTCGGAACTACAAGCATTTTTGGCACTGAATATACACATATGTTGTCATGAGGAAGGATGTTGCTCTACTTTGAGCTGTATCGCTTTGAGGTACCATGTTTTGGCCACTGAATATAAGACCAATATTGTCAACTCATTGCATTAATTTGCAACGCTACCATTAGAAAATAACCCCACTTCACTAATTTTCGGTTCGTACATAGGTAGCCTACTTGCTCATACGAATGTCAGATAGCCAGTACGTGGCGGGAGGGATCTTCCTGGAAATCGTGGATTCAGACTGGGTTCTTGATACTCTTCCATTCGAAGATATACAAGTAAACACGGATATATTGCCAACATCTGAACCCGAACTGGGCGTCACCTTAGATCCTGATCGACAAAATTCACTTGATAAAGTCACTCGTGTCGAGTACGACTTGCACTCCCTTTTACTACCAAGAAATCCATCTCGAAGTTGCCTTCTTTCTGTACGAAATCTTCCCAGGCTCTAAACTTAAATGAGTTGGAAGTCGATTATCATGCGCGCTGAGAGTATTCTTGGCGGTAGAGCGCCTACATTTGATCTTTCCCTTCTGGGTGAGTCTGAATCGACCTTCCTTGTAGAAAAAGCTCATAAACTCGCCTCTATTAGTGATCACAAAGTCGTTCGTGTAATCTGTATACAGCTTCAGAATCTCGACAACTCTCTGAAGCCATTCATGTGGAATGGTCCTTTTTTTTGTGATAAATATGCACCCCAGTTTCCTCAAAGTTTACTCATACCTATGGTCGGTCAGTGCATCCTCGATCGACCTGATTCGAATTTTCTGAGCCTTCATAGAAAGATGGGGGAAATTTTCGCAATTATTAACCTGGCTGTGGCCCTTCACAGGTTCGAATAACATTATTGTGTTATTCATTTTGCTTCTTATAGAACCATAGTGGATATATCACTTTCCAAGTTAGTTGGTAACCCAACTTGGGTCAAAACTATGGAGTCTGGGAACAAACTTGCTGTTCTTACGGGGGATATTTTATTGGCCAGAGCATCGCTTGACATGGCCTCCTTCCGTATACCAAAGGCACGCTTTGTTCTATGCATTGATTAAGCTCTAGTCCTTGTTCTAGCATCATTTCACATGTCTCTACTTTAGATTGTGGAAATGGTATCCAGTGCAATAGCGGATGCTATGCGAGCAGAATTTTCTGACCTTGTAAAAGTGCCCTTAACCCCAAACTCCGACCTTTCCTCTCTGTCAAAGTTGTGGCTTGAACACGTAACACTGAGGCACAGCGCTCTGCTTGGAGAGTGCTGCGCGGCAACAGTGGTTCTGAATTCACCTTCGACTGTCTCAAACTCTTTGGTTCAAAGCGCCCGTGATTTTGGACGCTCGTGGGGTCGTCTTACTCGGCTTCTGGCAGAGGTGAAATTTGTCAATGAGGCCCAGGTAGAATTCCATGGGCAGGATTTTTCATCCTTTCTCCAACCGTACTTCACTTTATTTCTTTCTAGCTGAAAATTGATGAACAGAAGAATTGGAAGTCTTTGGCTTCTGACTTCACTGAAAGTGGTCTTCCGGAACCGACGCTGGCGGGTGTTTTATACGCCTCCCTGGGAGACATTGCCATCATCTCTGATCTTTACAAGTCTTTGGCTACTTCCCTTACACTTCAGTTGCACGCGGCTTTTGAGAGACTTTTGCAATCTAGCGATGACAGGAACGATGTTCGTTGTCTTATTGAAGAATCTGTAAACCTGCTTGCTAAAGAGGCCAGTTAATTGTATTTATGCGTTCTGAGGAGTCATCGTGTAGCATTACTGTCTTGTGTCTCGTGAATATCTGTCGGCGTATTTGTTTCGAGAGAAGGAGAAGCCAAGACTGTGGTTCTGTTTCGATTTTATACCTGGGAATTTTCAATTTCATGAGACAAAAATAACGGTATGTCCTGCTCTTCCTACTGTTGGCATGCTTGATGAGGATGTATAGCAAGGTAACAAGTAGTTGAGGAAGTTGGCCAGGCTTTTCACTTTCGTTTGGAGATGCATGAGTAGGCTGTACTCATTTTAAACTAGGCGGATCGCATACGGGTTTGTGAAATAGTAGGTTAGCTCCACTGGAATTACGTCGTTGGGTTCAGAATCACTCATGATTTCTCTTGAACTAGATCGATCGTCCCTGATACGCCTTGTGGTATGGCTCTTGTAGGGAGCCTAGGTAAGTGTTTTAGCCAAAAGGTACGTTCTACCGACATTCATCAGGAGATATTATTGGGCAGTGGTAACCTAGGCATCTAATGGTAAGGGTATGAAAATGTGTGGACCTATTTTAGGTGTGGCATGGTGGAGTAGGGATTCGTGCAACACCGGTGTGATTGATTGCCAGTAATGTCAGACAAAGGTACAATTAACTACCAGCAAAGCTAGCGCAAGGATTCTTTAGCAGGATTGCCTTTATTCACATTCTACATTGTGGGTGGTCTGACTTCATACTTCTGCCACTTGATATAAATGGATTCTCGATGTTTTTATACACCAGTTTTAAGTCCCTCTTGCGCTTAGTCAGCCTTATAATGCGTTATGACTTGAGGTGTCAACCTATGGAGGGTAGCAAGCAATCTGTCTCCATGATATTTTCAATTCTCGCGATATATCCTGGATATCTCACCTAATTTCTATAAGGCATCTGCTGAAAGCAACTTACTCTACGATGGAA